TGGCTTTTTTCCTTTGTTTATTTATTTTGTTTCTTAAATTCCACATGTGAATGACATTATGGTATTTGTCTTTCTCTGACTGACTTATTTCACTTAGCATAATATCTTCTAGGTCCATCCATATTGTTGCACATGGTAAGACCTCTGTCTTTTTTATGGCTGAATAACATTCCATTGTGTAAATATACCACATCTTTATCCATTTATCTATGGATGGGTACTTGGGTTGCTTCCATATATTGGCTATTGTAAATAATGCTGTAGTAAACATAGGAGTATCTCTATCTCTATCTATCTATATTTTCAAATTAGTGTTTTCGTAGGTTTTTTGTGGTTTTTTTTTTTTTTTTGGCTAAATATCTAGTAGTGAAATTACTGGATCATAGATAGGGTGATTCTATTTTAAAATTTTTGAGGAACCTCATAGTGTCTTTCACAGTGACTTCACCAGCTTGCATTCCCACCAACAGTGCATGAGGATTCCTTTTTCTCCACATCTTTGCCAACATTTGTTGTTTCTTCTCTTTTTGCTTTTAGCCATCTGACAGGTGTGAAGTGATATCTCGTTGTAGTTTTGATTTGCATTTCCCTGATGATGATTGATGACGAGCATCTTTTCATGTGTCTGTTTGCCATCTCTATGTCTTTTTTAGAAAAATGTCTATTCATGGCTTCTGCCTATTTTTAAATTGGATTATTTGGGGGTTTTTGGTATTGAGTTGTATAAGTTCTTTAAATAGTTTGGATGTTAACCCCCTTATTGGATATGTCATTTGCAAATCTCTTCTCTTATTCAGTAGGTTGCCTTTTTTGTTTTATTGTGCAAAAGCTTTTTATTTTGATAAATAAAAATAATTTAGGGCACGTTGATGGCACAGTCGGTTAAGCCTCTGACTCTTGATTTCAGCTCAGATCATGATCTCACAGTTCATGAGCCCCACATTGGACTATACGCTGTTAGTGCAGAGTCTACTTGGGTTTTTCTCTCTGCCCCTGTCCCACTTGCACACACACTCTCTCTTTTTCTCAAAGTAAATAAATACACATTAAAAAAATAGTTTCATTTCGCTTTTGTTTCCCTTACCAAAGGAGACAGACATATCTAGAAAAATGTTTTCTACAGCTGCTGTCAAAGACCTTACTGCCTATGTTTTCTTCTAGGGATTAAGGTTTTAGGTCTTTAATCCATTTTGCATTTATTTTTGTGCATGGTCTAAGCAAGCGTGAACCATAAAATATTTGTCCCTGATGGTTTTGTCTGTTTTCTCCTCATCTCTGTCATACTTTTCCTGTTTATCCTTTTGTGTGTCTTTATTATGTGTTAACCTTCTCTCATCTGTGTCTCTGCTTGGCTCCCCACTTCTACCTATCTTGCTCTTGTTCTATCTTTTGGGCATTTCTTTGTATGGCCACATAGAACTGAAAAACATTTTAAAAACTTTATTGTACCTACAAATTTCTACTTCCTGTGTTTAATTTAAAAGCATTTAAGTGCATTGCCCGGGTAGGTCAGTTGGTCGAATGTCTAACTCTTGATTTCGGCTCAGGTCATGATCTCATGGTTTTGTGAGATTGAGCTCCACGTTGGGCTCTGCACTGGCAGCATGGAAACTGCTTGGGATTTTCTCTCTCCCTTTCTCTCTGCCTCTCCTGCACTTGCACTCTTTCTCTCTCAAAATAAATAAATAAACATTTATAAATAATAAAAGCAGGTGAATTGATTATTTTACATTTTTCCTCATTGTAGCCCTTTTTTGATTTTGGCCATCTTAAATCCAGGGATCCTCCAGAGAAGAAATGTTGCTCATTTCAAATATGGCCACTCAAGACCATCTGAGTGTCTATAGGCCTGTCCTTTCCCAACTATTCTGGGTCCTAAGAGTTTACCTTGGCTAGAGTGCAGGCTGTAGACCACCCAAGATTTGAAAAATCCACTCCAGAGTTAGACTTTTAGATTATAGTACTTTAGAATTTGAGAAGGACTTTGGGTACTATTTAATCTTAAAGATGAGAAAACTGTGACCCATAGAGGTCATGCAATTGTTCTAAGCTATGTACCTGGCAAATGACAGATCTAAAATTAGAACCTGGATGCAAATGAGCTTATATAATGAAAGAGTGGTGCTTATTTATATATTGGAATGCTCTACTAACCTTGGTAAAAAAGGGAAGCCTGCCAAAAAGTCAGGGAAATATAAAAGAAATAATAAAATCCCTTTAAAAATTTTAAAAACTATTGATCATATGGATCCAGGATCCTGTATCCTGGAAAAGAAAATGTATATGGCATGTGCTTTATATCAGTGCATATATGTATGTATTTGTCCAAATCTCTGTTCATTTGAATAGTTTTTGATCTTATCATCTTTAATATTTTTCTTCTTCCCCTGATTATAGGAAAGGGCTATTTCACATGAACTTTTAGATTTTTGATATAACATTTTGATATTAAGACTTGGAAGTAGCCTTTTAAACGCAGTACAGTTTAGAATAGCAGTTCCCATTAATAATTTCATCAGACTTGTGGAAGCCTCCTCACCTTGTTTGCTCTTGGAAGGAGTGCTGTCACACAGGCACAGTGACAGAACTGATCATGCAGAAATTACAAAGAGATAATTTTTCCACTCATACTGTAGAAGGGAATCCAAAAACTATTGATACTATGCCTTGATTAATGTATTGAAAAAAGGTGAATTCTGGGGACATTTTAAATGACTAAAAGAAAGTGCACTGGCACCAAAATGAGAACTGTTTTATTATATGATTTATTTTGAAATCAGCCATGAATCAACAGAGGCAATGGGAGTATTCAGTTCCATCTGTAAATTCAAATAAAAAGAAAGATGATGAGATGAGGTTCCATGATGTGTCATAAAAATGGGGATTACATGCAAGCTTGTACTATACAAATTAAACATTCCTTAGTGTGTCACCTTGATCCTCCTGATTTTCCCCACAATATGGGAGTCTGGGTGTTAGGAATAGGCTGCTATCTGTCCTGGTAATGTGATGTAAGTGTGCATACTCAGGCCTGAACTGCGTACTCCTACTGTATTTTTCAAGGTCTATAAAATAAGACAGTTAGCCTCATTTCTCAAAAGAAAAAGAAACTTTTCCTCAGAAAAGTCCTAAATTTCTACTTTGAAAATTTACTGCCAAGTACTGTGGATTCTATCACTTTGGTGTCTCTGAAACCCATCTACCTCTCTCAGTCAGGACCACCACAACCTTTACTCACACTTTGATAATTTTACATCTGGACACCCTGCTGCCCATAGTCCATATTGCTGCCAGAGTGATTTTTACTAATTAGATTGTGTTATTTTCTGTGTAAAACCCTATAATGGCACTCCATCATTTTTAGGTAAACTTCAGATTCCTTAACCTCTCATGTAAGAACTTTGTGATCATGTTCTTGGTCATTTCTGCAACCTTATCTGTCATAACTCCATGTTCCAGCCAAATTGAATTATAACTTCTCATTATAATTATAATTATAACTTCTCATGCTTCTGAGCTTTTATTTTGTTGTCTCTTTTCCCTGGTATGTTTCCTTTCTGACTTCCTCGTCCCTTGCTTTTTCCTAGTTATCATTCTAGACCTTGTTCTGGTATCTTCTCTAGGGAGCCTTCCCTGATCACCTCTTCCTCCTTTCAGTGCCCCATCACAAGTATTATAATCTTGAATTACTAGGTCTCTCATTCCTGTTAGACCATTCACCACTGAGGACACGGATCCCAGCTTATTTAATTTGTATCCCTAGTATTTAGCACAATGTTTGGCATGTAGTAGGTGTTTGATAGGTGTAGTAGGTATATTTGTTGGATAAATAAGTCTCCTTTTAAAGATAAAAAGATCATCTTCTATAGTAGAATAACCTCCCCATCTTGTGGCCTTGTAGGATAGTCCCACTAAAAATCTTTGATATCATCCTGATCCTGTCCCTTTGCAAATTAAGGGCACAAATGATACCACCTTTATGTACTTGTTCTGTTATTTTGATAAAAAGCTGATTGCAGGTTCCATCTTAGGAAGTACAATTTCCTACTTCTGTCCTAGTAGAAATTGTAGTCTAAACAGAAAGATTTATTCTTAGGCTAGGTTGCTCATTGACGTTTTATTTACTTATAATCAATACACATTTATTGAGTTTCTGTGATGTGTCGGGCTCTGGATTAGGTGCTGGATATTAAAGGTAAAGATGATCTAGGTCTTTATCCTCAAAGAAATGATAGTCTTATGAGCAAGTATATCAGAGTTTTTGAGTCATTGTGTGGGTGAATTAAAGAGGTAATAGTAGTTTTTGAGTTGTGACATATTTGAACAAATCACCAACAAATAAATGAAGCGTTTCTTCTCTACTAATGAGGACACTTTCAGCAGAAGCTGGAGTTCGTGGGAGACATTACTTTAAGGACTGTACTGTAGTATACTAGAATTATTATCCAGAAATTAAATAATGTGTTTGAGACATGTACACACAAAAAATTCAGAGACCCTCTATTACAGGTTCACCTCAGATGTGATGTTCTCTGATTCGATGCTTTATATCTTCTTCCCCCTCTCTGTTCATTACTAGTTTATGAGTAGTTATTTTTTTTAAGTTTATTTATTTATTTATTTATTTATTTATTTATTTATTTAGAGATAGAATGCACATGTGTGTAGGGGAAGGTCAGAGAGAGAGAGAGAGAGAGAGAGAGAGAGAGAATCCCAAGCAAGCTCTGCACTGTTAGCACAGAGCCCACTGTGGGGCTCAAACTCACAAACCTGTGAGATAGTGACCTGAGCCAAAATCAAGAGTCAAATGCTTAACTGACTGAGCCACCCAGATGCCCCTGTAAGTAGTTACTTTTATTAGGAAATATCATTCTTATGTTCCTTCCCACATTGCTGGACATATGAACCAGGAGAAATTCACCATGGCTCTTTGATGAGAAATAATGTTAATAACATTCAGGAGTGGGCAGCACTGACAGTTACTCTTCTTTGTTTTACAGAGATGAACGAAATCAGTCCATCATCGTAAGTGGAGAGTCTGGGGCAGGGAAAACAGTTTCAGCTAAGTATGCCATGCGATACTTTGCAACTGTAAGTGGTTCTGCCAGTGAAGCCAATGTTGAGGAAAAGGTCTTGGCCTCCAACCCCATTATGGAGGTAAGACAGCAGCAGCCTTGACCTTGTTACTATATTTTCTTAAGAAACATGCCCAAAAAATTGACACAGCACATGTAAGAAAGTTGAGGATGTCCTGGCCACTAAAAGTAGGAAAATACTTTTCCACATATTAGTAAGAAGAGACCTCAGAAAAGTAAAAAGTCAGTAAGGTAGACATTTGAGTAAAGCCCAGCTATGGAGGCATTTACTTTATTCCATAATCCTGCACTTTTAACCTACCTTTGAATTGTTGCCTCTAAATAGCTGGTAGTGGTATTTGATTTTCTAAATTTCTATTCTCCTAGTTATTTGACTCCTATCTATTGTTCCTTGTAGTAGAAGTGTGTTCCTCATTTCCCTCTAATTCTGAGTTCATAGGATTCTCCATGCTCAAGCATGAAGAATTTTATCATCCCTTTGCCCACATTTCATTTTCTATACTTAGTACAACCTGTTAGCCTTTTCTATATTTTTCCCCCAGATTTTAACTATAAGCTTAAGTCATGATCTTGTGAACATTTTTCTTCTTGTTTCTGTCTAGCATATCACAAAGCTGTAGGCTAGAAAAAGAAATTCAGTACAATTTAATAAATTCCTGAGAAAAGACAACTACAAAAGGATGTGCTTTCAAAGGTGAAATATGTATACAGAGTGGAAATGCTCATTCCAAAGAAAGTGGACCTGTTTGTGTGAGAATTTGAATATTCCAGGATTTGTAGTTAGATAATTATGTGTCTATTAATATGATTTTAAGAAAGTCAAACATTTTTGCAAGTAGTCCCATTAAATGGAGAAAAATATTTCTCATTAATAATGGAGAGAAATTATTTTAGACAGGGAGGAACAAACCTTTCTCATTGAGAATTCAAGTCAGTATTGTTTATTCCTGTTTTTTTCCTTTGTCAAGCCTTATTTGTCACCCAAACACAGACGGAGTTTAGAACTGGCCTGGTGCACCTGTGGTACAAGTGGTTTTTGCAATAATCAGTCCAGAGGTAATTGTGCCTGGTTTGCAGTGCCATGTGTGACACTTCAGAACAGAGTGCTGTGACCCCTTGCCCACAGGGCTGTCCTCCAGAGCAGCGGAACTTCTGTTCTTGGGATTGAGAGGACAGGATATGCTGGGGAAGTTATGGGGCTGCCTGGGCTAAGTGCACTGTGGAAAGAGAACTGGAGAAGCTTTCTGAAGTGGCACAGACTGGGGGAAACAGAGGTTTATGCCAAAAAGAGTAGTAGAGAATTTAAGCAAATATTAAGATTTCGAAAGAATTTAAGCTACAGATGCCAACTGTAGTGCTGGATGCCACAGTTAATATTGGGGAAATATAATCTGTAGAGCCATGTTTTGGGTTTGGGGCAGAAAACAACAGGCCTTTGCTTTGCTTCTTACCATCAGTTTGACTATTTTTGGTCACAACAACAAATTCTCTGTATTTGGCAGTAATTTAGCTCATTCTTAGTCCCTAATGTCAGAATATCCCAGTCTAAGTTGTGATGGCATCCAGGAACCCCACCTTTTCTAGGCCTGGACCGTATAATAATGTAAGTCCAAAATGAACCTTCTAGAATATGTCAAGTTGATTGACATATTTTATGACTTTGCTATATTCTCATTCAAAAAATAGTACATCAGTTTTTCCACAATACATAGTTCACTTGTGTTAGCAGGAGAGATAGTAGAATGGCCACAAATACTACTTTTTAATATGTACTTAGAAAGAATTTACTTTGTTTGCTAGACTGAACAAAAAAATTATCCTTAGCTCTTCCCTTCTACATTGTGTAGTTTTTCAAAAGGAATTTGGATTAAGAAAGTTTGGCACAGAGAGAACTAATTTTCAATAACTACAAACGAGGGCATACCAATTTCAAAGATTAAAGTGGAATCTGGGGCTTAAGAATGGTACCAAAGGGTTTGCAGTCATAGGAGGAAGACAGATGAAATATTGAGTATGTGACCTAGAAAGTTTGTAACTTTAAACCTGCTTCTCAAGACTGCATCTCTATATCAGAGTCCTTTACTGTGATGTCAAGGATGGCATGTCTGGGTCTCCAGTGATCTGAAACTCCTGGGATAATGAGCGTCCTACATTAACATCACAGCCCAGTGGCTAAGGGGATTTCCACATTATCCTCTAGAAAGCAAGCTCATCCTCAGCATAGGCTCCTTTGGCAAAATACAAATGAGGCACAGAGAAATGAATCTTTTTTGCTCATTTTCTCATGTTTTCTTTTCCTCCTTTTCTGTAGGAAATTTTCATCCTAAGATGGGGACAGGGAAATATTCCTGGGGCTTACTGGATCTTAATAGTTCTTTTACATCTTTAATAACCATAGTTGAAGACTTTTATGTGCTTTTAGTAAAGAGGAGGAACTCACTCAACACTTCACTGAAATCAGTAGTACAATCAAGACCACAAAATTTTTCCTTAGAAGTTTCTTGCTAACTGAAATGAAAATAGCATTAACGGGGTCTGTTGTAAATATAGTACTTAAAAGGCAGAGGGAGCAATTAGAGGGAATGGACAAAAGGTATTGTTTGTATATAGAACCTTTCCTTACCAGGTTCAAGGCTTAGCATCATATAGTTTTAGTTTTGAAAAGGACCCTGGAGCTCATGTCACCTAGGCAGTTTACATTTGGAGTCACTAGCATTTCTCAGAGGATTAAATGTTGGCAAGTTGGTAATAGGGCCTGGTCTAATACCCAGATCTTCAGACTTCTATTTCATTTGCTTCTTCTACCATTCTTTGCCCAATGTTTAAATACATTTCACTCAAAGACAGAGGGGAGGAATTTGTTTCAACCCTGGCCTAGTCACTGCAGATTCTAATAGAGTGTAGTGCTGTTTTGACAGCTTGGCCGCTCTGACTCCCACTGTGAGTAGATAGGAGAGAGCTGGCATCTGGAAGGTGGGATAGAGTCAGGGAGGAAGGAGTGGCTGTGGCGCCCCCTTCCCCAGCTTCCTTAGTTGCTGGCAGAAAGGTGCTTGGGACAGTGCCTGGTAAACACTCGGTGGCTATTACTGCCATTGCCATAATTACTACATCGTCTTCCTCTGCTCTGTGACAGAGTGGTGAAAGAAAATCCTGCATTTATCATTAATTTCCTTTTCTAAATAAAATAAAATAAAAATAACTGGAATATATGGAGATTTTTTTGTTGTACTTTTCATGCCATCAAGAAAGGGAATATCTAAGTAAATGTATTGTTAAATTATCTTAGGCTATATTAGTTCACTCTTATTTTGCTTGGAAGATAGCTTTCCACCACTCTTTCCATTTAAAATGTTAATCTGAAATATAGCAGTGTTCTCAATGCCAAAGCAAAATAGAACAATATCTGCATTGTATTTCACAGAGTGAAAATGTGCTTTCTTTGACTGTCAGAGAATCTAATGTGTTGATTTTTTGTGGCTATGTTATTACTGTTTTCATCACTTATATTTGTATTGCTTTTTTAATACACCAGAGCATTTTCACGCCTTTCTCTCTGCTACGACTTTAATATATTAATTCTGATAGTCTTAGGCTTTGTACAAGTAAATGGTATTAATCGTATGTGAAATTGTTTATTAAACATTTAATATATGCATTATGTGAACACTTGCTTTTCTTACTACACTTGTTTTTTGCTTTGCCTTGAAACAAAACTTTATGGAAGCATGTTACCTAAGTCAGAAAATAGTACGTATGAGGGGCATCTGGGTGTCTCAGTCAGTTAGGCATCTGACTCTTGATTTTGGCTTAGGTCATGATCTTGGCTCAGGTCATTACCTCATAGCTGTGAGACTGAGCTCCATGTCAGGCTCCATGCTGAGCATGGAGCCTACCTGAGATTCTCTGTCTTTTCCTCTGCCCCTCTTCCCCATTCTCAAAATAAATAAACATTGAAAAAAGTAGTACGTAATTATTAATACTCTGTTAATAAACAGTCCAACTAGGCCTTTGTTGTCACAGGGTAAAATGATAGAAACTTCTAGCTAATGAGGCTCTGAACACCGGAATAGCATCTCCATGAAAATATTAATTTGTCTTAACCAGCTTATTTATATTACACAGCCCAAGTTTTTCAGGAAATCCAAACCCAAGTGTATAACTAAGAGGTCTTGCCTTGGCAGCCCCCATTCCCATCCGTTTCTTTCCTTGTTGACTTCAATGAGCGTGTTCTGATACCACAAATGGTGTGAAAATCCCCTAGCCACTGTGCTCAGGTTTACTGTTTCTGAAAATAATTTGTGTGAGAATAACAAGACAGATATGAACTATTAGTGGGTATCTGTGTGGTTGCACAGTGGGCAAAGCATACCCTGGTGCCTGCAGGGGCAAAATTCGTTCTGTTCTTAAAAGAATCAGTTATAAAGGGTTGTGTTCTATTCTGTCCTTTCTCTCCCTGAACAAACTCTGTAAATGTCATGTCATGAACTATACTTCTAAAATATTATTTTTCCCTTTGCTTCTTAGTCCATTGGAAATGCTAAGACAACCAGGAATGATAACAGCAGCCGTTTTGGGAAGTATATTGAAATTGGTTTTGATAAGAGATATCGAATCATTGGTGCCAATATGAGAACTTACCTTTTAGAGAAATCCAGAGTGGTATTCCAGGTAAGCTGGGCAGATACCCATAAGTACTTGTATTAGATTGCCACTTTCAGAGCTCACGCTTGCTGGTGTGCATTTTTTTAACTATTTTTTTTAGCGTTTATTTATTATTCAAGGAGAGACACAGAGCATGAGCAGGGGAGGGGTAGAGAGAGGGGGAGACACAGAATCTGAAGTAGGCTCCGGGCCCTGAGCTGTCAGCACAGAGCCCGACGCGGGGCTTGAACTCACAAACTGTGAGATCATGACCTGAACCGAAGTCGGTCGCTTAACCAACTGAGCCACCCAGGTGCCCTGCTGGTGTGCATTTCATTTGCAGATAACTCTTGAACTTATAAGTCTTGATAACTTATGACAATATTACTACAGACCACATTTGGACCACAGTATGTAAAATGGTACCTGTCAGAGGCAGGACAGTACCTATTAGACTAATAATCTTTGGGACTCGGCACTGGTCTAGGTTTAATGGTTTTGACTTTTCCAACAGATGCTGGTAGGGTAAGCTTATTTAAAAAAAGGTGCTTTTAGTTTAGTCTTAACTCTCGTATTTCCCAGTTGATAGGGAAGACATTGGGATATGCTTTCAGTGACTTACAGTTTGAACTCAGTTCCTTGTCCTCTTACCTTCCTTCTCCTCTCTTAGAATATATTGTTTAGATAGAATAATGAAAGTTAAAAAATCTTCTTTACCAGGGGTGCCTGAGTGGCTCAGTTGGTTGAGCATCTAGTTCTTGGTTTCGGCTCAGGTCATGATCTCATAGTTTGTGAGTTTGAGCCCCACGTCAGACTCCATGCCAACAGTGCAGAGCCTGCTTGGAATTCTCTCTCTCTTTTCCTCTCTCTCTCTCTCTCTGCCTTTCTCTCTCTCTCAAAATAAATAAATTAATTTAAAAAATCTTCTTTACCAGACATAAGCCCCCTTTGGGCATCAAACCTGACCTTGAGGACACACTATTCTTTAGTCAACTGAATACACTACAGAATTCAAGGATTTGGTGGTGGTAGAATATAAGGATTCAGTTTTACTACAGTTGTATTTTTTTTTAAGTATGTATGTAGAAAAAGGACCGTCAGGAAATACTAAGAAATGATATTAGAATTGTACATGATTTATTTTCTATTTTGTAAAATACTGATGTTAAAATATATAAACTAAAATGATATGGATGGTGTAGTACATTTGTGGATTTCTTACAAACAACCACAGTAGGTGATCTATTCTGACATATGGCAAAGATGGAATATTCTTTTTCATTTAAAGTGTTAAGTAGTGGGAGCACCTGGGTGGCTCAGGTGATTAAGCCTCCTACTTCAGCTCAGGTCATGATCTCATGGTTTGTGAGTTCGAAACCCGTATTGGGCTCTGTGCTGACGGCCTGGAGCCTGGAGCCTGCTTTGGATTCTGTGTCTCCCTCTCTCTCTTCCCCTCTCCTACTCACACTCTGTCTCTCTTTTTCTCAAAAATAAACATTAAGGGAAAAAAAATTTTTTTTAAATAAATAAATAAAGTGTCAGGAAGGGGCGTCTGGGTGACTCAGTTGGTAGAGCCCCTACTCTTGACTTGCACTCAGGTCATGATCTCACAGTTGAGCCCACGTCAAGCTCTACACTGACAGCATGAAGCCTGCTTGGGATTCTCTCTCTCCCCCTCTCTCTGCCCTTCCCTGTGCTCACTGTCTTTCAAAATAAATACACATTAAAAAAATAAAGTGTTAGGAAGACTATGACTTTGAAAGGTACTGTGAGAAAATACTGAGTACAGTTTTCCCCCGCTATCCAAAAGCAGATTGTTCATATGAAAACTTTTGTAAGCTGAAATGGTATAAAGCAAAGAAAAAATACCATTAATTTACATGGAAAAGTTTTTGAGCATTGCTAGACCCCAAAAGTAACCGCTCTTAGGCTTTTCTGATGCGTTGGGACACATCTTGCTAATGGATGCACAAAATAAGTCAAGATGAAGCACAGATGTTCACAAACACAGTTCAGAGGTATGGCAGGGTGAGGCTGAGATGCTCAGCATAGTTCCCTGCCAAGGAGCTGGGCGGGGCCACCCTCACTGCTCTGGGTGTGTGCTGCCTCTAATGGCTCACTGAAAACAAACACTAAATACTGTTTAGCTTTTCTGTAAAAAATCCTCTGTGGATTTCTTTTGGTTAGCGAAACAGGTACTAATGTAGGCCTTTTGCAAAAGTGAAGTGGTATAATGTGAATGTTAGAAAAGCAGAGGAGAAAAGACTTAAGGGAGACCTAGGGAAGATGGTGGTGTAGGAGGATGCTGGGCTCACCACGTCCTGCTGATCACTTAGATTCCACCCACATCTGCCTAAATAACCCAGAAAACTGCCAGAAGACTAGGAGAACAGACTCTCTGGAGCCAAGTGTAGACAGGAGTCCCACGGAAGAGGGACCGCTCCCACAGGAGACCACCAACAGCAAAGCGAGCTAAGCCTGCCCCTCCCGCCCCTGTGCACCTTGCGGATTCACCCCAGCTAATATGCCAGATCCCATCGAAGCAGCACCACAAGCCTGGCAGTGTGCAAGTAGCCCAGACAGGGGCCACACCACTCCACAGTGAGTCCTGCCCCTGGGAGAGGGGAAGATAAGGTACACACCAGTCTGATTGTGAACCCAGCGGTGGGCTCGGGGCAGACATTGGGTCTGACTGCGGCCCCGCCCACCAACACAAGTTACTCTGGACAGTACAGGGGAAGTGCCCTGCAGTTTGGAGACACCCCAGGGACTACCCAAAATGACAAAACAAAGAATTCTCCTGAAAAGAAACTCCAGGAAGTAGCGACAGCTAACGAATTGATCAAAAACAATTTAAGCAATATAATAGAACAAGAATTTAGAATAATAGTCATAAAATTAATCGCTGGGCTTGAAAAAAGTATAGAGGACAGTAGAGAATCTATTGCTACAGAGATCAAGGGACTAGGAAATAGTCATGAGGAGCTAAAAACTGCTATAAATGAGGTGCAGAATAAAATGGAAGCGACCACAGCATGGATTGAAGAGTCAGAGGAAAGAATAGGTGAATTAGAAGATAAAGTTATGGAAAAAGAGAAAGCTGAGAAAAAGAGAGATAAAAAAATCCTTGAGTATGAGGGGAGAATTAGAGAACTAAGTGATGCAATCAAACAGAACAATATCCAAATAATACGAATTCCAGAAGAGGAAGAGAGAGAGAAAGGGGCTGAAGGTGTACTTGAACAAATCATAGCTGAGAACTTCACTGATCTGGGGAAGGGAAAAGGCATTGAAATCCAAGAAGCACAGAGAACTCCCTTTAGACGTAACTTGAATTGATCTCCTGCATGACATATCATAGTGAAGCTGGCAAAATACAAGGATTAAGAGAAAATTCTGAAAGCAGCTAGGAATAAAAAGCCTTAACTTACAAAGGTAGACACATAAGAGTAGTAGCAGACCTATCTACTGAAACTTGGCAGGCCAGAAAAGAATGGTAGGAAATCTTCAATGTGATGAACAGAAAAAATATGCAGCTGAGAATCCTTTATCCAGCAAGTCTGTCATTCAGAATGGAAGGAGAGATAAAGGTCTTCCCAAACAAACTAAAACTGAAGGAATTCATCACCACTAAACCAGCCCTACAAGAGATCCTAAGGGGGACCCTGTGAGACAAAGTACCAGAGACATCACTACAAGCATGGAACCTACAGACATCACAATGACTCTAAACCCACATCTTTCAATAAGAACACTGAATGTAAATGGACTAAATGCTCCAACCAAAAGACATAGGGTATCAGAATGGATAAAAAACCAAGACCTATCTATTTGCTGTCTACAAGAGACTTATTTTAGACCTGAGGACACCTTCAGATTGAAAGTGAGGAGATGGAGAACTATCTATCATGCTACTGGAAGTCAAAAGAAAGCTGGAGTAGCCATACTTATATCAGACAAACTAGACTTTAAATTAAAGGCTGTAAGAAGCGATGAAGAAGGGCATTATATAATAATTACAGGGTCTATCCATCATGAAGAGCTAACAATTATAAATGTCTATGTCCCGAATACACGCACCCCCAAATATATAAAACAATCAAATGTAAGCAACCGTATTGATAAGAATGTGGTAATTGCAGGTGACTTTAATACTCCACTTACAACAATGGACAGATCATCTAGACACAGGATCAATAAAGAAACAAGGGCCCTGAATGATACATTGGATCAGATGGACTTGACAGATATATTTAGAACTCCACATCCCAAAGCAACAGAATATACTTTCTTCTCGAGTGCACATGGAACATTCTCCAAGATAGATCACATACTGGGTCACAAAACAGCCCTTCATAAGTATACAAGAATTGAGATCATACCATGCACACTTTCAGACCACAATGCTGTGAAGCTTGTAAACAACCACAGGAAAAAGTCTGGAAAACCTCCAAAAGCATGGAGGTTAAAGAACACCCTACTAAAGAGTGAGTGGGTCAACCAGGCAATTAGAGAAGAAATTTAAAAATATATGGGAACAAATGAAAATGAAAATACAACAGTCCAAATGCTTTGGGATGCAGTGAAGGCAGTCCTGAGAGGAAAATACATTGCAATCCAGGCCTATCTCAAGAAACAAGAAAAATCCCAAATACAAAATCTAACAGCACACCTGAAGGAAATAGAAGCAGAACAACAAAGATACCCCAAACCCAGCAGAAGAAGAGAAATAATAAAGATCAGAGCAGAAATAATATAGATTCTAAAAAAATTGTAGAGCAGATCAATGAAACCAAGAGTTGGTTTTTTGAAGAAATAAACAAAATTGATAAACCTCTAGCCAGGCTTCTCGAAAAGAAAAGGGAGATGACCCAAATAGATAAAATCATGAATGAAAATGGAATTATTACAGCCAATTCCTCAGAAATACAAGCAATTATCAGGGAAAAATTATATGCCAACAAACTGTTCAACCTGGAAGAAATGGACAAATTCCTAAACACCCACATACTTCCAAAACTCAAACAGGAAGAAATAGAAACCTTGAACAGACCCATAACCAGTGAAGAAATTGAATCAGTCATCAAAAATCTCCCAACAAATAAGAGTCCAGGACCAGATGGCTTCCCTGGGGAATTCTACTAGACATTTAAAGCAGAGATAATACCTATCCTTCTCAAGCTGTTCCAAAAAATAGAAAGGGAAGGAAAACTTCCAGACTCATTCTATGAATCCAGCATTACTTTGATTCCTAAACCAGAGTCCCAGCAAAAAAAAGAGAACTACAGGCCAATATCCCTGATGAATATGGATGCAAAAATTCTCAATAAGATACTAGCAAATCGAATTCAACAGCATATAAAAAGAATTATTCATCATGATCAAGTGGGATTCATTCCTGGGCTGCAGGGCTGGTTCAACATTCGCAAATCAATCAATGTGATATATCACATTAATGAAAGAAAAGATAAGAACCATATGATCCTGTCAATCGATGCAGAAAAGGCATTTGACAAAATTCACCATCCTTTCTTAATAAAAACCCTGGAGAAAGTTGGGATAGAAGGAACATACTTAATCATCATAAAAGCCATTTATGAAAAGCCCGCAGCTACTATCCTCCTCAATGAGGAAAAACTGAGAGCCTTCCCCCTGAGATCAGGAACATGATAGGGGTGTCCACTCTCACCGCTGTTGTTTAACATAGTGTTGGAAGTTCTAGCATCAGCAATCAGACAACAAGAGGAAATCAAAGGCATCAAAGTTGGCAAAGATGAAGTCAAGCTTTCATTTTTTTGCAGATGACATGATATTATACATGGAAAACCCAATAGACTCCACAAAAAGTCTACTAGAACACATGAATTCAGCAAAGTCGCAGGATACAAAATCAATGTACAGAAATCAGTTGCATTCTTATACACTAATAATGATGCAACCGAAAGACAAATAAAGAAACTGATCCCATTCACAATTGCACCAAGAAGCATAAAATACCTAGGAATAACTCTAACCAAAGATGTAAAAGATCTGTATTCTGAAAACTATAGAAAGCTTATGAAGGAAATTAAAGAAGATATAAAGAAATGGAAAAACATTCCGTGCTCATGGATTGGAAGAATAAATATTGTCAAAATGTCAATACTACCCAAAGCTATCTACGCATTCAATGCAATCCCAATCAAAACTGCACCAGCATTCTTCTCGTAGCTAGAACAAGCAATCCTAAAATTTGTATGGAACCACAAAAGACCCCAAATAGCCAAAGTAATATTGAAGAAGACCAAAGCAGGAGGCATCACAATCCCAGATGTTAGCCTCTAGTACAAATCTGTAATCATCAAGACAGCATGGTATTGGCACAAAAACAGACACATAGACCAATGGAATAGAATAGAGACTCCAGAATTGGACCCACAAACGTATGGCCAACTAATCTTTGACAAAGCAGGAAAGAATATCCAATGGAAAAAAGAGTCTCTTTAACAAATGGTGCTGGGAGAACTGGACAGCAACATGCCGAAGAATGAAACTAGACCACTTTCTTACACCATTCACAAAAATAAACTCAAAATGGATAAAGGAACTGAATGTGAGACAGGAAACCATCCAAACCCTAGAGGAGAAAGCAGGAAAAGACCTCTCTGACCTCAGCTGCAGCAATTTCTTACTTGACACATCTCCAAAGTCAAGGGAATTAAAAGCAAAAATGAACTATTGGGACTTCCTCAAGATAAAAAGCATCTGCACTGCAAAGGAAACAACAAAACTAAAAGGCAACCAATGGAATGGGAAAAGATATTTGCAAATGACATATCGGACAAAGGGCTAGTATCCAAAATCTATAAAGAGCTCACCAAACTCCACACCCGAAAAACAAATAATCCAGTGAAGAAATGGGCAGAAAACACGAATAGAACTTCTCTAAAGAAGACATCCGGATGGCCAACAGGCACATGAAAAGATGCTCAACGTCGCTCCTCATCAGGGAAATACAAATCAAAACCATACTCAGATACTACCTTACGCCAGTCAGAGTGGCTAAAATGAACAAATCAGGAGACTATAGATGCTGGAGAGGATGTGGAGAAACGGGAACCCTCTTGCACTGTTGGTGGGAATGCAAACTGGTGCAACCGCTCTGGAAAGCAGTGTGGAAGTTCCTCAGAAAATTAAAAATAGACCTACCCTATGACCCAGCAATAGCACTGCTAGGAATTTACCCAAGGGATACAGGAGTACTGATGCATAGGAACACTTGTACCCCAATGTTTATAGCAGCGCTCTCAACAATAGCCAAATTATGGAAAGAGCCTAAATGTCCATCAACTGATGAATGGATAAAGAAATTGTGATTTATATACACAATGGAGTACTACGTGGCAATGAGAAAGAATGAAATATGGCCTTTTGTAGCAACATGGATGGAACTGGAGAGTGTTATGCTAAGTGAAATAAGTCATACAGAGAAAGATACCATTTGTTTTCACTCTTATGTGGATCCTGAGAAACTTAACAGAAGACCATGGGGGAGGGGGAAAAAAAGGGGGTTCAAGAAGGAGGGAGCCAAACCATAAGGGATTCTTAAAAACTGAGAACAATCTGAGGGTTCATGGTTGGTGGGAGGGAGGGGTGGGTGGGGATGGGTATTGAGGAGGGCACCTGTTGGGATGAGCACCGGGTGTTGTATGGAAACCAATTTGACAATAAATTTAATATTAAAAAAATAAATAAAGACTTAAGGAACATAATGAAAAACAAAAAAGAAAAAAAGAACAGCAGAGGATACCTGTTTCCCAAAAACATGGTTTTAGTTTTCCCCAAAGATAATGATCTCTTAAGACAATGGCATATATCAAGCTGTTCTTTACTTCCAAAAACATCATTATCAGATAATTTTTGTTGAATGTAACTAATAGATACATACTCATATATGCACATAGCTAATCATAAAATTTAATAATCATAATCCTATATTAGGAAATTTGGGAAGGGACAACTTATTGCACTGAATTAAATATTAAAATTTTTTTGTGATTGAATTTTATGAGTTTTAGGTTAAAATGCTATAATTGAAAACTCTTCTTATTTCAAAGGCAGAAGAGGAGAGAAACTATCATATCTTCTATCAGCTTTGTGCTTCAGCAAATTTACCTGAATTTAAAATGCTGCGATTAGGTATGAATATGGGGTCAAATTTATTGTCCTGGTATTGTTTTCTATTAATTCCCAAGTTCATAAACTTATTTGGTAAAAGGGAGATTATCTCATACTGAAATATTTATGAATAAAATGATAACAAGTCTGTAATTGGCTTCACGATAACGTAGGGATGGAGAAGGGGTGAATGACTGTGTAAATGAAGCAAGATTGGCCATGTGTTGATACCTGTTTGAGTATTGAGTTGGAATCGAACTCCAGACTCTGTACACTTATCTGTGCTACCAGTGCCTCTACTTTAGAGTGGACATAAAGGTAGAAGTCAAAGCTTTTTCATAGACTGCAAATCTTTTTTTTCCTTAATAACAGGAAATGCAAATAACTTTCATTACACAAAGCAAGGTGGCAGTCCTGTGATTGAAGGAGTTGATGATACCAAGGAGATGGCACATACCAGGCAGGCCTGCACTTTGCTAGGTAATGTAATTTTATTTTTGAGCTCTTGTGAGCAGTATCTCTCTGATTTAAACAACCTTTGCTTGGAATATTGGCTTTGCTTTGTATTAGGCTGTGAGTGTTGTTGGGAGATTTAACATTCCTTATAAAACACCTTTGGACATCAAATGGGCACAGAGTTTCTTTTTGGGGTGGTGGGAATTATTCTAAAATCAGATTGTAGGGGCGCCTGGGTGGCGCAGTCGGTTAAGCGTCCGACTTCAGCCAGGTCACGATCTCGCGGTCCGTGAGTTCGAGCCCCGCGTCAGGCTCTGGGCTGATGGCTCAGAGCCTGGAGCCTGTTTCCGATTCTGTGTCTCCCTCTCTCTCTGCCCCTCCCCTGTTCATGCTCTGTCTCTCTCTGTCCCAAAGATAAATAAACGTTGAAAAAAATTAAAAAAAAAAAAATCAGATTGTAGTAGTGGTTGCACAAGTAATCACTGAATTGCATACTTCAAACCGTGAATTTTATGGTATGTAAATTATCCCTCAATAAAGCTGTTTAAAGAACAATTTGGGGGCATTAAAGTAAGTAGGACGAACTGTAATTCTTTAAATTTTCACATAATCTGAAACCTAAAGTAAATGTTATGGTTTCCCAAACAAGCTCACATTTTGTAGGGTTTTTGTTTTTGATTTTCTGGGGTCTTTTGTGGCTGGGAAATGTGGTGAGCTGGTGTAGTGACAAAACTTTGTAATATATGTAGATTATTCTAACATTTTAAAAATGAGATGTCACTGTCTTGTTTCTGAGATTTAAAAAATGAGGTCTACATGTGAGTAAATTAATCTTTAGAACTCTAATGTACAGCTTTAAGTGGTGGATTATTTATTTTAAAGACCTCAGAATATTAATAACTAAATCATGTATTGGTATTTTGAGGAATACCATGAGGTGAACTAACTGATTTAAAAGCATTGTTAATCAGAGTATGGTACAGAACCATAGTGAAGCTTTCAAAAATTCAGAAACTCAAACCTTATCTCAGACCTACTGAATCAGAATCTGTATGTTAACAAGATCCATTGGTGATTCATATGCATATTTAAGTTTGAAAAATACCGCTTTACTTCTAGGGCTGAATATATTTGTAAATAGAAAATGGCAAATTAATAAAAGCCATAATGTAGGTGTTAATGAAAGCATTCATTATGAGATCAACTCTCAATTACCTCGTATATGATTATATACTTGGAAATAATTTTACTACTTTTACTTCCATATAATTATATCTAATGTTCAGGAAATTCTTACCTTATTGAAGAATGAAGCCAGATCAGATAAAAAAAACCAAGGGCTGTAACAGCTGTCTCATCCTGCCTCCTCCTTCAGTTCCTGCTCTAATGCTGCATTTAGATATTCTCTCATCAGGCTGGGAGACAGCACCAACCTGAACACTTCTAATCTTGGGATTTCTTTGACTTATACTTGGTCTGTAGTTAGAAGTAATTAAATAATATGAATCAAAACAGCCTTATCGGGCTGCAAATTGCATTTGGAGTAGGAAAGATAATAATGTTAATAAAATACTTAATTCCAGTGTATGATGGTGATAATTCGTTTAGCATTTACCACATGTCCCCTAGTGTGTTAAGTATACTACGTGACTACTTGAATTTTCTCATTTAATGTTCACAGACACCCTTTGAGATACTCACTACTATTCCCATATCTCAAATGAGAAAACAGAAACATAGAAGGGTGATAGTACCTGCCCATGTGAGATGGCAGGTCAAGAGCAAAGCCAGGCCTTGAGCCCAGTCGTTGCTCCACAGCCTGTGCTCTCAACCATGCTGCTGAACTGTGATACATGTTAATGTCAGTAAAGGTGAAAGTGTTGTTAATGATGACATGTTACTATCTGCACATCTGGCAATATTCAAGAGTTAAAAATAGGCTTAAAATTGTCTGTTGTAATGGTTTGTAATCACTTGTTCATTTACTCTGCTGTTTCAGGAATTAGTGAGTCTTATCAGATGGGAATTTTCCGAATACTTGCTGGCATCCTTCACTTAGGCAATGTTGCATTTACATCTCGGGATTCAGACAGCTGCACAATACCTGTAAGTTCAGAATATGCTTAGTGTGGTAGCGGTTTATTTGTGTTTCAGTTTTGTTGATTCTTTATGGAAGCAGTATATTTGAAGTATCTCTATTAATATTATCAGAGAGATAATTGTTAGAAGGATAAATTACTCCAAGTAGGATCTGGAACTGAAAATAAAGAAATATGGTTGCTAATCCCTGGTGCACAGTGATTGTGTGTGTTAGGGATAGGAGAAGAGAGAACTTGGATACATTTCTGGTCCATGTGAACAGAGGTGGGAAGTATTAGATGTGAAAGTTGGATTGGGGCCATCTAGAGAGAAGGGTTTATTTGGCCTATGGCACAAGTACTAATAATTGAAAATTTTGTGTCTTCAGCTGTGGAATTGTAATACGGTTTAAAAGTTATTGAGGAAACTATTAGTAGTAGTTACTCCTGGGAAAATGAACTAAATGGCTGGGGGATAGGGTGTCTTCACGAGGATTTGCATATTCTTCCCCACATAGTGATAACTGCATCTGAGAATTAAAACCCAATTCCATATGTGAAAACAATTGTTTAAATTGTAACAAAATCTGACAGTCTGATTATCCTCATTGGGCATTTATGATTTGCTGATCACCACCATCAAATCTTTCTCTCTCTCTCTCTCTCTCTCTCTCACACACACACACACTATATTTTTAGGTGTTTTTTAATTTTATTAAAATGGAGGGAGTTTTGATATAATTAATTGTTATTTCATCCTGCTTTCTCAAGATTGTGATAGGAAACAATGTTAAGATTTATGTTTCACTGTTTAGATACCCAAGTTGATATTAGCAAAACTATGTGTAAATTAATTCATGTGATTTAGACTTTAGTTTTGAAATATATGTTTCAGTGTCTCTGCCTGGATCCGATCCCAGCTTTACTGTTTACTCACACTAGGTTTTTTGGTGAGTTACTTAGCTTCTCTGAGCCGTCGTTGCCTCATCTGTAAAATGAGACATTCTTTTCCAGCGATTTTTGACTAGGTACTCTGATTGATCTTCATACTGGATAAATTATGTGCATATTTTTTAAAGATTTCATTTTTAAGTGGTCTCTACACCCAGTGTGGGGCTTGAACTCACAAGCCCTAGCCAGATCAGGGATTTCATGATCCATTGACTAACCCAGCCAGGATAAATTATATATTTTTTAAAAATTTAGTAAATATGTAAAAACTACTCAGATGTCAGAAATTAAGTGAAAATAGGAACTATGAGAAAGGAGAACCCTGAAGTTAGGACTCGCCATAAGGTATTTGCTGAACCCAGGGACCTTGAGCTTTTGTTTTCGTAGCCGAGTTGAGTTCAGAAGACAAAACACAAAGACTAGGACTCATATAAACAGGGGAACTCCTGACTAAAGCTGAGATCCTAAATGAGAAACTAGTAATAAGCTTGCCCACCACCTATTCCAAGAGTACAAAGAAAAGGTAACTGGTTTGAGCAAGCCTTGGTGCTAAGTGAAGGAGGAGAAATAGTTCCCTAAAGATTTGCAACAATGAACTGACCCTCACACTTCCTTCCAGACTGATTTTGTAATTCCTAGATGGTTCCAGAAAGCTAAACACAGAAAACTTAGCTTAAATTGGTCCTGGACTGATGGTGCCTTAGATGGCTGACAGAAGCACATGCAAGTCTACTTTGGATGATCCACCTTCAAACCAGGCCTCAGTGGAGTCCCCTGAGAAAAGTTACAAGAAATATTGGCTCACAGTCAAAAATCACAAATTCCACAAGGAAACAAAATAGAAGGAGCTAGGTGAAACAACAGATAAGAGTCAGACCTATTTGGAATGCTGAAAGTAATTAATAGCAAATTTGACACAACCGAGGAGAGAACTGATGAGCTAGAAGAGACATGTAAAGAAATTTTCCAGAATGCATGACAGGACTCAGAGATGGAGCACTTAAAACAGGAGAGATGAAGGATAGAGTATTAAAATCTAATTTTAATCTAATGAGAGTTCCTAAAGGAAAAAAAAAGAATGAGGCAGATATAATACTTGAAGAGATAATTACTAATAAGTTTCAGAAATTGTGAACATGACACTAAACCTCAGATTTGGAAAGTCTAAAAAAATCCCAATTAGAAGAAATAAAAAAAAAGTCACCCCTAGGCTCTCCATAATGACACCAAAGGTAGAGAGAAAAATTTTTTCTTTTTAAATTTTTCAGTGTTTATTTCTTTTTGAGAGAGAGAGAGAGAGAGAGCGCACACAAGTGGAGGAGGGGCAGAGAGAGAGAGGGAGTAAGAATCTGAAGCAGACTCCAGGGTCAGAGCTGTCAGCACAGAGCCCCATGTGGGGCTCGAACCCATGAACTGTGAGATCATGACCTGAGCCAAAGTCGGACCCTTAACCGACTGAGCCACCCAGGTGCCCCAAGAAAAATCTTAAAATAGGAAGAGATAAGACATACTACTTTTGAAGAAATAGCAGTTAAACCCATAGCTCACTTCTTAACTAGAGCAATAAGAGCCAAAACAGTGTTACTGTCTTCAGTGTTCTAGAGTAACTATTAACTTAATTTGTGTATCCAGTAAAAATATCTTTCCAGGATGATGGAAAAAAAGAAGTATTTTCAGACAAATAGAAATTGGGAGATTTTGTCACCAACAGCGTATTCACTAAAGGAAATATTGAAGGATGTGGTTTAAGCAGAAGGAAAGTGATCCCAAGTAGAAGATCTAAAGTCAGAGAATAAATAATGGATCAATAAATTAGAAAAGCATGTGCAAATGTAGGTAAATTTCATTAATTAAACAGTAATAATAATGAATAGTGTATTGGGCTGGAAAAGACAGAACTCCCCACAAAATACTTAATAGTTACAAAGGGAATGATAGCTCTCTTTACAGTGGAGAAACTTGGCAGACATTTCCTTAATCTCCTGACCACAGTTGACAAGACCAGTAATGAGACCAAACAACATCATTTAACTTATTTTTTTTTATTCTTTTTGTTGTTGTTGTCATTTGCTTTTAAAAATCCTCTAAAGGTATTTCTTTATTTCTCTGGTTTGTAGTTTATAGTGAACATGTTTTTAAGTTTTTTATCTTAATTCCAGTATAGTTAACATACAGTTTTATATTAGTTTCAGGTATACAATATAGTGATTCAACACCTCCATATGACACCTAGTGCTCATCACAAGTGCACTCCTTAACTCCCATCACTTATTTCACCCATCCCCCCATCCACCTCCCCTCTGATAACCAGTTTGTTCTGGCTTGTTTCTGTCTCTCTTTTTTTCCTTTATTTGTTGTTTCTTAAATTCCACATAGGAGTAAAATCATGTGGTATTTGTCTTTTTCTGACTGACTTATTTTGCTTAGTGTTACACTCTGTAGCTCCATCCATGTTGTTGCAAATTGCAAGATTTCATTCTTTTTCATGGCTGAATAATATTGTGTGTGTGTGGGGGGGCACATGTTCCTTATCCGTTCATTAGTTGATGGACACTTGGGCTGTTTGCATAGTTTTGGTATTGTAAATAATACTGCAGTAAACATAGAGGTGCATGTATCCCTTCAAATTAGTGTTTTTGTATTTTTTTGGTAAATAGTAGTACAATTGCTTGATCATAGGGTAGTTCTATTTTTAACTATTGAGGAACCTCAATACTGTCTTCCACAGTGGCTGCACCAGTTTTCATTCCTACCAGCAATGCATAAGGGTTCATTTTTCTCCACATCCTTGCCAACACTTGTTGTTTCTTCTATTTTTGATTTATAGCCATTCTGACAGGTGTGAGGTGATATCTCATTATAGTTTTGATTTGCATTTCCCTACTGATGAGTGATAATGAGCATCTTTTCATGTGCCTATTGGCCATCTGGATGTCTTCTTTGGAAAAATGTCTGCTCAGTATCATATAACTTCTGATATGGTGCACTGAGAGGGTAGCATCACTTCTCTGGTATTCCTGCCAAGAAGGCATGACCCAAATCTAATCATGAGGCAGCATCATACAGACCCACATTGAGGGATATACTATTCAAAAATGTCAAGGTCACAAATGAAAGACAAAAAAAAGAACAAAGTCCTGTTCAGATTAAAGGAGGCTAATGAAACGTGGCAACCAAATTCAGTGTATGAACTTAGACTGGATCTTAGACTGTAAAAATATCTCCCCCACCCCTGCATAGAGATTGATTAGATCAATCAGGGAGAAATGAATTAGATCTATAGGTTAGATAATAGAGCTCCATCATTGCTAATTTTCAAATTTTTTTTCATGATACCATAGTTATATAAGATAATATTTTTGGGGGGCGCCTGGGTGGCTCAGTCGGTTAAGCGTCGGACTTCGGCTCAGGTCACAATCTCACAGTCCGTTTGTTCGAGCCCCGCGTCGGGCTCTGGGCTGATGGCTCAGAGCCTGGAGCCTGCTTCCGATTCTGTGTCTCCCTCTCTCTCTGCCCCTCCCCCGTTCATGCTCTGTCTCTCTCTGTCTCAAAAATAAATAAAAAACATTAAAAAAATTTAAAAAAAAAAGATAATATCTTTGGTTTTTAGGAAATGCATACTGAAATATTTAGTACTAAAATAGCATCATGGTTGCAACTTGCTCTCAAAGGTTCTGAAAAATTAATGTGTATGTACATGTATATAAGAGGATGATACAAATGTGGTAAAATGTTACTGTTTAGGGAATCTGGGTGAAGGTAATTCTTCGTACCACTGGTAACTTTTCTGTTAGTCTAAAATTAGTTCAGAACAGGGGGATGGGCACTGAGGAGGGCACTTGTTGGGATGAGCACTGGGTGTTGTATGGAAACCAATTTGACAATAAATTATATTAGAAAAATAAAAAATAAAACCAGGAATCCAGGAATAAAATAAATAAATTAAAATAAATAAAACCAGTTCAGAACAAAAAGTTAAAAAAATAAAATGAATCACCAGCCCCTGCTCCCCTCAAAAACCTACAACTAGAGTGCTAGATAACAATAACTGGTTTAAGAATTCAGCTATATACTTTTGAAATAAGCATTCCTAAAACATAAAGGTACAGAAAGTTTGAAAATTAAAAGTTTAGAAAAGACACGCCATAATAACTAGGGAAAAATGGCAGAGCCTGTATCAATATTGGACAAAATAGACTTTGTCCAAAAGCACTAGAGATAGAGTACTATGTAATGATAGAGATTTTATTCAACAGGAAGATATAATGGTTCCAAACTTACATGTACTTAAAGGCACAGCCTTAAAATATGTAAAGCAAAAATCAACAGAAACCACAAGAAGAAATAGACATATCTATCATAGTGATAGATTTTTGACTTCTCTCAATTATTAGAGAAGACAAAGAGAAGACACAGATGTAGAAGGCCAAAAATTAGTAAAACAGAAAATTTGAACAAAGCAGTTTATAGCCTTGATCTAATATTATGGTATAGAATATGTTCAGATAGTACTGATCCAATTCTAAATGTTGTCAAATCATTCATATTTATATGAATGAAATTAGCTGCTTAGTTAAGGGAGTTGTAGCATGCTGTTGGTAATGGTGCTAATTTGTATATGAGTTGATGGCTTGGGAGGAGGGAGATGAAAGATGGAAAGGACTGCTTCAGTGGGAAGGGTCAGGAGGTGAGGGTGTCAGGACACCCAGGTTCTTTTTTTTTTTTTTTTTTTCAATATATGAAGTTTATTGTCAAATTGGTTTCCATACGGCACCCAGTGCTCATCCCAAAAGGTGCCCTCCTCAATACCCATCACTCACGCACCCCGCCCTCCCACCCCCCATCAACCCTCAGTTTGTTCTCAGTTTTTAGGAGTCTCTTAT